GCAAAATATTAAATATGCAATGTTAAAGAAAACTGAAAGAAAAGGCAGCTGGCAGTAAAAGAAGGCAAAGGAAACACAGTTGGCGGAAAAATGCCAAACATGCAGCAGCAACTATCAAAACTTGAATATGCATTAGCAACTTGAAAAAATATTAAATATGCAGTAGAATAGGAAAAGGAAAGAAGTAAAACAGAGTTAAAAAAAGGAAAGGAAAAAAATATACTTCTAAACATTTGTAGTGGTGTATGGCCGTAGTTGTGGCGATGTCTCACAATGGTGGTTATGTCTGGCAGCTGTGGAGGGTCAACAATGGCAAAACTAGGCTTTGCTATGCTCCGTCGCTCTGTCGCTCTTTATGCACTTTAGTTTCTCATCTTTCTATGCGTCTTTGTTAAAAACTTTATAGTTAATGTGTTGGGTTGGCACAAGGGACACTGGTTTTTGCATTTTGGTTGTTTCTAATCAATAAACGTCTCCATGTATGACACTAACGATCGTCACCAAATATCAAAATATGTCAGTCTCATGGCCCTGTTCTGCCCTTAGTGCATATTAATTTGACGATGTGATAACAATGGTAATACCCCCTCTGTCCCAAAAAACATTAACTAATTTAACTTTCATGGTGTTTAAGAAAAATGTTGAAAGGTAAAAGGTATATGATTGGAATTTTTTTAGATCATGGAGAAATTTCGTGAGCCACATGTTCGTTACATGTTCCAGTCCCATATTTATGAAGCCACATCTTTAGTTCTTGGCATGCTCTCTTCAGTATATTGATTTGATATGTTAAATTTATCTTCTTATTTTCATTTTTGTTGCATACTGGACTTAGTGGCGCTGTATGTATTCTTGATGATGAGCCTACTACCAGCGGCAGACATTGTGGACCCATGGATCTCAGTGTTTGTTGTAGTAATAGAGTTAGCGTTTCTATTGCTGTCATGGTGCAGCTGGAGTCGGGACCAGTTTGTCTCTGGGAGTTTCTTGTTGCTGGGTCTGAGCAAGGCATTGAAGCTGGACAAGTTGGACTTAGATTAATTACCAAGGGCGATAGACAAACTACAGTCTCAAAGGAGTGGAGTGTAGGTGCGAGCAACATTGCTGATGGAAGGTGTGTTTTCTTTTACTTGTAGGGTTGCTTCTTGAACGCCATGTCAGTACTTATAGCTTGCTGCTGGTAACACCAAATCTCTCAAGTTTTTTATGAATATATCGGTGTGTTGGATTGCTCCTGTACTCTTATCTTGGCTAGAAGTTGAATTCTTATTTTCCTGATCCGAA